GGTCTGAGGTCTGAGTTTTCGGGGTGTGAGTTTTCGTGACACCCCAAGCTTGCTTGCACTCAGGTAAAATGCTCATGGATTTTGCCGACATATGTCAATGAAGTGCCGTATGCGAGGGCTAAAGACATCGATTTCTCATCGGCTAAGAAGCTCAAAGAAAAGCTCGACCAAAAAATCGAGGATCTACAACAGCCGCAAGCCTCGAACCATACAACAACTTCTAGTTCCTCCTGTTCTTCCCCTTGATTTGTAATGATCTTAGGTATAGCGCATTAGATCATATATCCAATGAATTTTGCGCTATAGAAATAATAAAATTATTAAATTATTATACGAAAAAATCCTTAGTCTTTATGCTTTCCACTTTTGCTCGAACAGCCAACAACAATGCATACAACCATCCCTTCTTTCTCACATAAACTCTTCGTTAGAGACGGTTTGTTTACGCTCGAGGGACACCAAGATGGCGGATAGTAACCGTTGCTAAGGTATTGGTCACGTGGGTGAAACCCAAGGATATTCTCTCAGGTAGTGTATACCTGAAGGTTAATTTTAATCTTTTCTGTACCCACTTGGGTAGTGTATACCTGAGGGTTAATTTTAATCTTTTCTGTTCCCACTTGGGTAGTGTATACCTGAGGGCTAATTTTAATCTTTTCTGTACCCACTTGGGTAGTGTATACCTGCGGGTTAATTTTAATCTTTTCTGTACCCTCTTGGGTAGTGTATACCTGAGGGTTTCTTTTAATCTCAGTAGGTGGTCAGTAGGGGGTCAGTGGTCAAGTGACTTCGTCTGATAACAGGAAAAACATTAATGGCAAAGCAAGCCCAAAACAGCAGAAATTGCCAAAAAACACGACGAATACACAAGGAATGAGTAGGTTTTATTAATCTAAAGTGTAAAATGTTCACATTTCGGAAAATTTAGTGTTTTAACTGGACAATATATTATTTCCCATACTATTCCTTATAACGCATTCAAATTCTCAACGGTTGCTCGCGTAACTTAACACCGCGTCACACAACGCGTGACACTTTTAAGAAATAATCCTTTGCTTTTGCTCGAGACGTGAACTTGGAAGGCCTGTGCTCATGCTTAGGAGCAACTTCAGAATACCCGTCCACCTCATTTACATGTGTCTGGAGGCTTTGAAGAACGAGGGATAACACAATAGACGGTATTCTTATTTAATAACATGTAAATGAGATGGCCGGGTATTCTGATTAGCCGAACGCGAGATATCGCGCTCCGGAATACTTTCAGGCGGCGCCGCATAGCCGCCTTTTACGATGTTACGATCGAATAGCGATCTGGGATACTTTCATGACGGCGCCGCATAGCTTTTACTGTGTTACGATCGAATAAGCAGCGACGTCGGCATGTTGGTAGCGAACATCAGAGTTAACAGAGGGAACTGGTTATGAAAGCCGGGGAACTTCAGACGATAAGAACAATGGGAGACCTCTGAGGTTGAAGGTACAAGTCACGTGATCGCGAAGGTGCACACATTCAAAACAAGATGGCGGATGGAGTAGACTATCTCTTGCTATGGGTTCCCTCTATTAACTCTGCGAACATGTAGCGAACTTGAACGCAGCGAACTAGACAAGTAGCGAAACCGGCTGTTACCGATTTCAAAGCGGCTTCATATCTAGATATGGGGATTCCCGGACTGACAAGTTACATCAACTCACTTGGAACGCTTTGGACAGAGATCAATCTTCAAAATACAGAACTTGTCATCGATGGACCTTGTCTATGCCATTATCTTTACGATAGCAATGGCTTAGACTGCCGATGTGGTGGCCAGTACCAAGAATATTACGATGTTGTAGTTTCGTTTTTCGATGCTCTGATTTCGTACGGCGTGGAACCCTATGTTGTATTCGATGGGGCATATGATGACAAGAAATTGGAGACACGCGAAAAACGAGCCAAGGACAAGGTTAAAACATCAAATGCTTTGTCGCAATCCGCCGATGATCGTCTGTTTTTACTTCCGCCTTTAGCGAAGGATGTGTTTGTGGATGCACTTAGGAATCGTGGTGTGAAGTTCGCTTTCAGTGATAGGTAGGAGTGATTTATTTATGCTCATTAAAAACGCTATGAAGAAAAGTAGCCCCTATAGTCTCCTTTAATGAATCCGCCATGAAGGCCTTAGAAACAATAAAACAACACGATCTTGGAAAGAACAATACAATGGGTCATTGTTTAGAAAGAAACTACAGTTACAATGTTGGAGAAACTTTATGGCGCTATATGATTTTGAAAGCCACATAAAGTTCAATATGCCGGGTGCAATTCTTTACCGAGACTTCTTTTCAAGAAACAGTGGAAGAGCCTTAGTGTAGGGTCCCCTACACTTTTTACGTGAAGTGTGATTAGCCAATTTTTTCCCCTTATATTCGTGAATCGTAATTAAAGATGATAAGATCTTTCCATGTCCATGTGAACTAATTTTTATTTAAACGTGACTTATGAATGAATAGCTGAAGTAAACGTGATTCGTGAATCAATTTCATTTTGCGTGGAGAATTCCTGGCTTTTTAACAGTTTTGAAATTGAGCTAAATTGTACGTATTGTTCTCGAACGGCTGTAGTTAGGTTTTGACCAAGGTTTTGACAGGACATGAACCTCCTATAGATCGATAATTTGTGAATTTGGTTTTTTATTTTTATGTGAAAAGTGATCGTCGTAAATTTCACATGAACGTGGAATAATTATGGATTTTATTCGTGTTGCGTGAAAAGAGCAGCCACTTCTACATGACTGGGTTTTACAAAGGGGTATAGGGGACCCTCTTTGTGGATATTACCTCTTCAGCTTTTAGCTTGCCCTGAAGGATATACGTTTAACCCCATTTCCTTTTTTTCTCAACAGGGAAGCCGACAGAGAAATTGCCTCGTTGGCTAATGCATGGAATTGCCCAGTTCTTAGCAATGACAGTGACTTCTTTATCTTTGACATCAAGGCTGGGTATATTCCGATTACTTTCTTTAATTGGAATTCCAGTTGTTTGACAGTAAGGATTTTCTATCGGCGAAAGCTGGCGATGCATTTTCAAATTCGTGCTGAATTAATTCCCTTGTTTGCTTCATTGGCGGGAAATGACTATGTGAGTTGTAATTTGTTATCTGCATTTCATCGCGCGTTGAATCCTATTCAGACTTCAAACCATTCTAGAGAAAAAGGGGCTAAATTTGAAAGCCTTGCAAACATGCTCTCCAAACCTCCTGACTCAAGCGAAGAAGAGGCTTTGGAAAGAGCTCTGAAACTGGTGAAGCCAGCTGAAAATGGAGAACATCTTAGACAGGCTGTTGAACTTTCTCTCCAGGAATATACTCTCAGGAAATCAAATCTTCTGGGTTATTTCCAGGATAACTCAGTCTCTAGCTCCCTTAAAACGCAGAGTAAGGGCGAGATCAATGACTGGGTTTTGCGCCAGTTTCGAAATGGAAAGTTTTCCGTAAATTGTATCCGTTGCTTGACCTCGAGAAAAGTGTTCCTGGAAATCCCCGTTGAAAATTGTACAGAAAAATCGGCAAACTGCTGCTCTCTGTGGCTAAGGCAGTTCATGTACGGAATTTTGAATGACGCTGAGACAAAAGCAGATGAAGGAAACATTGAGGTGATTCACGAATGGGACAGAGAAGGCTTAAGTGTCAAAAAGTCAGCTGTAGAACCCTACCAAGAGAGCGTGGTCCCTTCTCTGAGCTGTATCCCATCCCTCGTTCTGGGAGAGCCTGTACACTTTTTGTTGTTTGCACTATATTCGGACATCACAGATGTCAGGTCCTTGCGTGAAGAGTTTATTTTAATTGCTGCATCACTTCGTTATCTCATTAATAATGCCCAACCACCGTTGAAAGTTAACCACCTCAAAGCATTACTGTGTTGTTGTGTCAACTTGGAAGAAGGCAAGTTCTGCAATCGTGAAGAAAGAACTGCAAGACCTGAACAATCCTCATGGCCCTTTGACATACGAGCGGCACAAAGCTTTGCTCAGTGGCAGTGTGTTCTGAGAGATGCAATTCATCTGAACTTTACTTTGCTTGAGCCAGTACCTGTACCATCTATTCATAAGACGTTCAATGGAAAAATGGCACAACAACTGCTTGAAAGGTTGCAACAAGGTAAGACAACCCAATCCTTTAGAAAATGAGAATAAGATGGGGATATTCGTATAGAATGCCTGAGTCCCCTGTTTTTAAGTCAAAACTTATAGTGAAGCAAATAAACTTAATTACTGTTGCTGACTCAGAAGATGAGACCAATGTTAGTTTTCATGTAGCCAGAGAGGGGTGCAAATTGGTTTTCAAGAGACTTACTGAGTAATTACTGACTCTTGTTGACTGCGGCACAAACAGGAGTGGCAATTAACACTTAAACTCCTGAGATCTGATTATGAATTCTCCCCTCTAGCTGCTACACATTTCCTTGTAAATTAGTTACAAGAATTTGGTGTTCAATCAAGGTAACAACTTCTACTTGATAAGTTTGAGTATTCTCATTACCTGTTTATTGGATCATGTATGGATATTATAGGGAGAAGTTACAGGTTAATCACTGAGAGTTAAAGGGTTAATATCCTCCATATATATTTTTTCTAACTCCTGAAAGTTCTTGCAGAGACATTGAGGAAAACTGTTTGATGTGCCTTCTTTTTTAGGTCAACTACCGCAGCAGTTTCTTCGACATTTTGGGTTGTTTCGTTTGTTTCACAGGCTTTATCTTGCAGTAACCAGTGGTTTATTAGAAAAGATGGCGAGTGAATAGAAACACTAAGTCAAGGAGAGAGTTAAAAAGACTTGTAGGCAAAATGCTTCGTCAAAAGAAGCATTGTCTGACAACAAAATGCTAGGAAATCGTTTTGCTGTTCTGTGCAACATGAGAGCCCAACAACAAGAGGAGGAACATCCAAAAGTGAGCAGGAACAATGCAAGCAGTTTCAAGGAAATGCATTACTAGTCAACACCAGTAATCTGCTGACCTTACTATCAGTTGATGTGACTACTTGTCAGAATCACGTGATATCCTGCAAGGATTTGTAAACAATTATTTCTCTTTTTCTATGGGCAATTACCCATGCTGTCTTTTACTTTTTAAGTTTTGTACAAGGTGACCATGATGTCACTCTGTTTAATGTTCAAGAAGAAAATAATATAGGAATCATGCTTCACTTTAAAAGACAACCTGTAGGTTATTGTCAATTGTAATAACAAACTTAAAACACCATTATGCACAAGCTATTGATGGAGTGCTTATCATGTATTACTTTTTGCAGTATTAATTACTGTATTACGTTGACCTTGAACTATCTATTTTCCTTGCTAAAATTTGTCTTGCTTTGTTTTAGCCTTTAAACCGTAAGAGTTACCAGTATCTAATTTTATCCTTACAGTACATGAGAGTAAAGGAAATGATTGCAAACCTGAGATTAGCTCTGATTGTCAAACAAATTCTCCTGGTCAGCGCCAAAGGAAATGTTTAGAGCAGAGTTTGGAGAATTTTGATATTGATGTTAGAGTGTAGGGGGTTGATATATGGAAATTTTAATTTAAACTTATCGGCATCTAATTAACTACTAACAACTATATTTTGCCCCTCTCCATTTTCTCTCTTAGTAGTCTTCTTTATAATCAATGGAGAGGTTTGTAACTAATGAAATGGATGAAAACATAAAAACAATAAAAAAACAAACACATTGACCACTTTCAAAAATGGCTGCCAGATTAATATTCTTTTGTTTAAATTTAAATTAGCCATTCTGGCCTCGCTTGAGATAATGTGTTCTTTTGAATTTTGTACTGGAGAACGAGGCTAGAAAGGCTAATTTAAATTTAAACAAAAGAATATTAATCCGGCAGCCATTTATGAAAGTGGTCTATTGGTTTACTCTTTTTTCTCTACATAATTACACTGTTGTTGTGAAGCTTTGGTTTCAAATCTATTGCTGAACCAGGATAAAACAGAGACTAATATTTAAGATTTATAGAATTGAATCTGCACTCCATGAACCTCACGTATGTATGTATTAATACTGTAACTCCAAGGTTATCTGGTTGGGACAACTGAAGAATTGAAGAAGTAATTTGTATGATAATACTAAATATTTATCTGAGAGTAAATTTCCATATCAAAGCCAAATATAGTTATAAATAAATATGTTAAATTGAAAGATTGTCTCTGTTATACCAAATGTAGTTTGTGTGACAGTCAATCCTAAATTTATGTTCTGGAGATTTAATTCTTTATACTTATAGTAAATTCAAGCGACTAGGAATACATGGTATTTTTTCTTAATAGCTACCTTAAGATAAGGGTTTTCTTTGGTGATATAGGCTTTACCAGACTGGAAAACACTGCAAATTAACATATTAATGGTTCTTGAGGATTCATATTCCTGAATATATAAGTTTTCACTTTCTGTAGCTTTATCGAGTGTATCAAGGAACATGTCAGGTGAAAATTATCATCATCTCTGTCACTTGAATTACTGAATTGTGCTTTTCTGGATGGCATCAATAATTTCCTGAAAAGATTTGCTTTTTAGTTGTTAAGTAAGACAGTTCAATGTTTGAAATGCTTATTCAAAGGCATCTCTGTCTCTGCTTTTTAAGTTAATTGCACAGGGAGGGGTGGAAACTCCTTATTGGCTGCCCTCTTGGGCCCGGTTGTTCAAGGAGCGGATAACGCAATCCAACGGATAAATCACCATCCAGTGGATAAGTGTTACCAAAACGTACTGCGCTATCCACCGGATAGAGATTTGTTGAGTGGATAGCGGACATTATCCACCCTTCGAACAACCAGGGCCAGGTGTACATCCCTCCTTAAAAGAAGTCAAATCAGCTCACTTTGCTCCTTTTGCTTCAGGATATTTGACACCTTTTTTCCCTCTCTTTTCTCTCAATTGATAATTGAATCATTAATAAAACTTATTTCAGAATAGTGTTATGATTGTAATTGGTAGATTTTTTCCTCTGAAGAGCCCCAGTATGATTGTCATTGTCACAATCAGATGCAAAAGTTATAGGCATCATCACAGTTTTGTGACAATGCTGAAGCAGATCTTTCAAATCAGCTACTTTGATCCATATTTGGAGTTATAGTGATGTTGCAATAGAAGAGAATTGCTTTGATTTTGTCAAGTTAATCAATTTTTGCTGGTCATGAAATAAAAGATATTGAAAGAGTGAGTACCACAGAGACAACATCAAGATTTTGATTGGAGAGTAAGTTGTTTAATCAAAAGCAGAGCAAGTTATTTTCGCCTCATACCAAGTTTTAAAAAGCTTTCAAAAGTGCAAGATACAACCCCTAAGACTGCATGAAAAGACAAGAATGATAAACACTATCAATGCCCTTGGGGACTGAAGAGCCAAGAAATGTCAATACAAGCTAATACCCTTTTCTGTTGCCAGAAGAAGATACAAGTCAATACTCTTTAGCTACCAGAAACTAACTATGCAATACCCTTTCTTGTCACCAAATTAGGATACAATTCACTCTTTGCCTTTCAGAAATCAACAATTCAAACCAATACCTTTTCAGTCTCCAGATTAACAACCCTCTAAGCCCTGGAAGTGATTGTCCATATCATAGCCATACATTAACCAGCAAACAGGTAATGAGGGCACTCAAACTCCTCCACTCAAGATGTTTTTATCCTGATCTAACACCAAACTCTCATTACTAATTTACAAGGAAATGTGTGAGAGCTATAGGGGAGAATTAACAATCAAATCTTGGGAGTTATACGGTTAAGACACAAGTCAACAGTCTGGCTATAACAGCAATTTACAATACAAACCCGAAAAAAAAAATAGTCACAGGAGCACAAAGAGGGCTAAATATGAAGGGCAACTAGCGAAAAAGATAAACACAAGCCAGCAAACTAAATGACCAGAATCTTTGGCTTTAATGAAGGTCTTTACACTACTAGCAGACAAGATAAGTACCGTCTGAAATCCTGCCTCCCCACTATTTAATACAACTTCAAAATTAAAAGGACTGATAAGCAAAATGACTGATTAGATAAGTAAGGAATAAAACTTTCTTTTCTGAGGCCGATTTGTTCGAAACTTACATAGAAAACGGCATACGTTTCGGTTTGTTTTGACACGCGCAGAAGTAAATATGGCGGTCAACACACACTTTCACGAGACAGTACAATGTTAAACTCACAGAAAATATAGATAACAAAGCTTGCACACTTACGGAAAGTGAGTCAATGATAACCCACTAGGAGCCTGTAATAGCCCTTTCTTTGTTAGCTGCTATTACTGTTTTGCAGCTCGCCTAAGCAAAATAAGCGAAGCGCTTCCAAAATTATTTTGCTGTGTGACGTCATACTGGTAGCGATAATTCGACGGTGGCTTCTACCAGAGAACAGGAGAGTCACCCCTCCCTCCTCATTTTAACATACTTGAAACCCCTAAAGATCTGGAAAACTCTATTCATCGACAGAAAAATTTTATGAGCCAATCCTTCAAAAATGTTTTATATTTTATATTAATATATCATATGTGGCTCTTGTTTTATTTATAGTTCTTGAGAATTTTTAGAAATATTTTAAGGTGAGATAATAAGGTAATTTTTAATTTGTAAATTTTAATTTTCTTTAAAAATGTTAGATTCTAGTGAACTATAAATTTACCGAATGATACCATGTATAAACTCATTTTATAAGTTTCCTATTATTTTAGTGTCCCAAATTGGCTCTCTAAGCTAAAGACATCGACGCTTAAATGAAGTTATTATGCTATTTTACGTTACGTTATAAAATTAATTTTTATAAAAACTAAAATTAAAAACTCAATGATATCCTATTGTTCAAATCACTTCGATTTATATTCCTGCCGCTCTGTTTTCAGCCTGTGAAATAAAATAAAGAAATCGCACACTAAGATATTATAACTTGAATTAGTCTTCGAAAATAAAACCTGCACTAAGCTAACAAGTATTGAACACTTGCTGTGATAACATTTTCATTAGTTTTAAAAATGATCGTTATAATCCCACTTTTCGTTGAAGTGTAATTAAGTTTTTGTACTTTGGGGTGGTAGTAGTTGTAGCTGGTGTACTTTGATTAAATTAAATTTGATAAACCCAAACGAAAACTTACCGTCATTTTTCTTATTTTATTTACCATCCCAGCTTTATTGACTGTGCAACGGTCAATAAATGAAGATAGCGAGAAAAGCTCAAACCAGGAAGTTCTAAGTTTTTTTGTGCACAGAGAATGGGTTAATCCTCGGCGTTTGCCTGTAGAGTGATTTTAAATCGAGGACTTCTATACGTGGTTTAAGTCTTGTTCTTATTACGGTAAGAATAGAGTAAAACAGTGATCACGTATATGTCTGCTTGTAGAAGGTAAGGTCTCGTGTCGTTTCATACTTGATTGATAAAAATACAAATATACCAATCACACCAAACTTACCAAAGTACATCAGCAACAACTACTATCCCAAAGTACACTGACTATACTTAACTTCGTCAAACTACCTAACTACAGCAATAATGGCAAGAGCACCAAACTACTCCACACTTCCCCGTACTACATCAAACCTCCCTGATCTACACCAAGTTATGTTAAATTGCATCAAACTGTTAGGGTAGCCTCTCAGAACTCAACATATGGCGTAGCACGAATTGTCACAGAGCTTTATTTGGCTGGCCTCTTTAGGGTGAGGGTTTGATTAATAAATAATGAATTAAAATAATAATAATAAATAATTAGTCATGTCTCTCTACTCACCTAATATAAATTCTCTAATTCTTATAGTCTGTGCAAATACTTCTATCTTGATCTTTTTATGATCTTCTTTCCTGTCTCTGAAAGAAAATAACATGAAAAATAAGGAAAGGAGAACTAAATTAAAATTAAAATCTTGATCCACATCAACTTTTCCTTTTCTTTAGTCGCATGCTTTTAAATTGATCTTTTCAGAGCATTGATGCGTATATTATTATAAGTTAAGTATTATTATGAGTATAATATTATTCATTATAATAAAATTATAAAATTATTAATTATAAAATTATTATAATATCTTATTATATTATTATAATATCATTATAAGTTAAGTATTATTATGAGTATAATATTATTCATTATAATAAAATTATAAAATTATTAATTATAAAATTATTATAATATCTTATTATATTATTATAATATCATTATAAGTTAAGTATTATTATAATTAATTATATTATTATAGAACTTTCAGATGTGTGAAATTTGTAAATGTCCATGAGCTCCCTTGGCGTTTTCTTAGATGAATGCTCTATGTTCTTAGGCATGATGAATGACATAGGCATTGCCAAAAAGCAGCAACTTTACATAATCAAGAAAATTATAAATATAGCTATTAGAGCAACATATTACGTCTTTTGTTGTAGAAATAGGAATTGGGATAACCCAGATTTGATGCAATTTTGATTTTTGTGTGTGTGTTGAATAAGCCAATCTCAAGCAGCATTTGTAAATTGCCTATACGTAGTTAGATTTACAATTGTACATTTAAAAACACAAATAAAGTTTCCATTATTATTATTATTATTATTATACTAAGTATTATTATCATAAGTTAAGTATATTATAATATTGATGATAAGTTACCTATAACTCCGGTTAAAACCTGCACCATTTGCAGGTGGGATCTGGCCTGAACTATCCTGTTTTTGAAATTAACGTGCATTAGTGAGCAGATTTCGTAACCTTCCACTAAGTCTCACACGAGCAGCATCTACTTTTTGAGACGCACTTTAATAATAATAATAATAATAATAATAATAGACTTTATTAATGTGTCAAATCAGTAGCGGTTTCCCACCAAATAAGGACACCTAAACTAAACTAATCTAATATATATAAAACGCATAAAATATGCAATCCTGCCCCGTATAGATGACTCTATATAGATGTACTACCCTACCCTGTGTATACAATACTGATAATATAAAATATTAAGATTTACATAAAATACAGTTCTTACAATTTTCCGAAGAGATTAAACTTTGTATATCTAATGTATGTAAATTAAAGCACTTTGAAATTCTTGTAACGTTCTTACTGTTCTTGTTTTTTCATCTAACTTAGACCCGATTACTAGGCCTAAGTACCTAGGAGAGTGCTTACCATAACGTGTTGTGCTTACTCTGGGTATAATGAAGTCATTGTTTCTTAAATTATACCTGTTATTATTAATACCAAACAAGTTCTTAATATTATTAGGGCACAGATCGTTTTTAACTTTATACATTAACACGGCTATATCATGCAATCTTCTGTTATATAAGGTTGTTAATTTAGCCCTTTTAAGAAGATCGCTACATGATGATATACTACCACAGTAAACAGCCCTAAGGCCCCGTTTCTGTACTCTCTCTAGTTTTCTAGAATCACCAGCTTTACAACAATTCCATATAGTACTACAATAAGTTAAATAAGTCAGAATAGCAGCCTTAAAAAGTTGTAATTTAGCCTTAACTTGGATTAACTTCCTTAATCTATTAATTACGCCTACCCTTTGGCTACTTTTTTTTACAAATGTTACTTATGTGGTCGGAAAAATTTAAATTATCAACAATGTTTACACCCAATAACTTAATAGAATTGTATGACTTAATGGCACTTTAATCTTGTATTGTTGATGCATAGCGTAAACATGAGCTTAAATATTTTAATTCTTGAAAAATTAAAAGAGAAATTCATAGAATGAACAACTGAAAAGTCAGTGCCACAGAGAGAGAGAGAGAGAGACCTTAAAAGTAAAAGGATTTGTGTCGAAAAAAAATCGGAAAAATTGATTGATTTTCAAAACTAATTAAATGAAAGAAGACATGTCTTACCTGCACGTTTGACAGGATTTCAGGAATCGCAGAGACATTTGCCATTTCAAATATGAGCAAGAACCTAAAACAAGACCAAAATTAGCGTATTTTTTCAGCTTACTACAAATCTATTCACTTCGCTGTATACAAGCCCTACACAAGTGGTTTTTTTTCAGTAGGTCAGCTACGCATTTAGCCACGAGGAAACTCATAATTGGTGTAGCTATGCGATATTTGCAGTATTTTTCTGCAAAGGTGAATGTGTGCGTTCTATGCGGTTAGATCCCCAGCAAGGTGCGTTCGGCGTGATTTCAACAATGAGCTCGCTCGCAAAAATTCATCTCGAGCTAACTTAGGATTGATGTGATATTTGTTAACTTATCACAACGTGGTTTTGCTAACTAGCTATCTCTCAAGGTGTAAAAAATAAGATTTCATCGGGTCGCTAATCAAGGGAGACCATTTCTATATAATTGGGGTGTCAAATTGTAGAAATCTAATCTGAATTTAAGAAATTCTATGAAAACTTGTGATTTGGTGGCGAATTTCAATCTCACCTTGTAAATGAATTATCGGTCTTGTGCTCTTTGCTCCCTATTCTGCAGGAATGTACGGAAGAAGAAGCGAAAGAACTTCCAGGCGAAACGAACCTGGGACGAAAAGTCTCCTGGGAAGGCGGAACATACATGAATAATTTTTCGAATAATAAACTTCTCGAATAATCTTTCTGACGGCAACATGGCGGCGACAAAATGAAGACGCCTCTTGCTATAAATTGAAGTGTTGCACAAAATTCCCTTTCTTAGTCAATGTCGTTTAATTGTGTTTGTTGTGAAACATCTTAGTTTTCTGTCAGTATAGGAGAGTGCGTTCTTCTCTAACCAATGTGGATGAAGTTCCTTTCTCCAACCTTTCATAACTTGTTGTCCTTCCTCCACGTTTTCCAGCCTTGAAAAGCAACCCGCTGTGTTCCATTTCGACCAATTCTCTTCAAGTACTCCCTTGACAAATTGGGTAATCTAGTCACATCTTTTACTCAGACAAGTCCCTGAGCCGATTGTGTACCTGAGATCTCGATCTCAAAGATGGCTTTTGTGAGCCGATTCTGTACTTGAGATCTCGATCTCAGATGGCTTTCGGTGGTCATTGTTTAAGATCGTGTGGAAACCATGAATTAGTGGCAACTTTAACTTATAAAGTTTCACTGGCTGTTAAAGATAATCTCTTTTAATCCTTTTTTTTTTGTTGATAATGGAAGCAGTAACCGCCAACTTGGACATTTCATCTGAAAAACAGAAGTTAGATGATGTAGTGGATGCGAAGTGAAGGGTTACCCAACTGATAGTAGGCAGCTTTCTATTTCGTGGTTCCTTCTGTTGTTGTTTATTTTTTAATTCTCTCTCTTGTTGGCATAATTGGATCACTTTGGAAGCTGAGAAACATGAAGAAACTGCCAGGAAAGTGAGGCTGTGCTGCCATCTTCTATGTCGCTGAAATTAAAGGTGAAGCTTGAAAGATGAATCATACTACTCCCAAACCTTCGATTGAAGTTATTGCTTCGAAGCAGTCCACAGCACGGGACCAAACTGAAAGGTAAACCATATAAGCGGCCAATACTTGTCGAGTTCATGCTGGGGTACAGTTTAATTTTGACCATTACGATGGCAAGTGCTCTTGTCTGATTGGCTGAACAGGTTATAATATATTCAATTGAAAATCTTTTCCCTGTGAATTTAAATAACAAGTGCTGAGAAGAAATAATTGAAAAGGCGAGTTTGTATGCTGTCGGAAAGTTTCCAGTTTTTTAAGCTTAAGAGGCATTTAATGGTAAGTAGACAGTGTTAGGTTTGGTTCGTAAAATACACTTGAAAAATTTAAAGTTGATAAAGAGTAGGTCTGAGCTTCAGCCATCTTTTCAAACCGAAATAAAAACCGGTTCAGCGCAGCATGTGATGAACGGCTGTTGTCGAGGACATTTTTATGGAAATTAGAAGAGTAGGAGTAAGTCAGGATAGTTGACGCGAAGAGTTAGGTGTTCTTGACACAGAAAATTTTGTTTTTTTCACTTTATATAATAGTGTTATCGGGTTAAGCTCCTTGCTGTAAATTCTGAGACTAGCTTTCCACAGACCACAGACTTATTTTACCTGCGACCCGACCACAAAGCTACATGTGGAGTCCGTGCCGGTCTGTTGCCTTTACAATGCAGGCGGTGTACCCACTCTGATTGCGTTGCATCATGGTCGTAAAACAAAAACTGAGTCATTTGCATCTTGACGCGTTAGAGTGAACACCTTTGGTGGCAGCGAGATGCGGCATGAATATACGTGGATTGTAATGGGGATTCACTGTCTGTTGCTATCCCTTCGAAAGTTAAAACCCTTGACGGGCCTGCGCGACTCCTGTCATTCCTCCGTGACGAATTCGTTCTTAGGAGGTAACTGACATTATTTAGAAAGATTCGAAACTGCAATCTGTCAAAGAATCTTGACACAAATGGCAGCAGTTACACTCGCAATGACGGGATGAGTAATTTCAAAGTCAGTAATTATATTCCCAGACGCGAGTTATTCAACTGTGAATTGACCCTTGACATGCAAACGCATATTAGAGAGAAAGAGACCTTGTAATAGACAAACTTTTTCCACCAAGCGTAACTACGGGATTTGTGAAAGGAGAAGCCTCACGCCTCCAAAGAATGAACGAATTTGTCGCGCTCCACCTTTAGTAAAAACGTACAGTGTTTCAAAATACGCTTCGAGAAAAGAGGAAACCTATATTAGGGTTTTGAGAAACGTACCTCTGGAGTTATTACTTCCGGAGAGAAGTATACTCTGAAACAAAGAAAATAGCGCGCGCACAGAAGAAAATATTGCCTTTTGTAACACGATCTCATCCGGCTTTGCCAAACCTCAAGAACATATAGATGGAGAGTTATGACACCGCAAAACTTACCCTTATTATCACATCGCAAAGGAAAGTCATCAAAGATATCCTAATAAGAGCTAAACTTTGAGAGTAGAGGATTTAAAAGCGCTAGCGAATGGTAGGAGACGCACAGGCCTCTCAACATCTTTCAACGGTCGATTGCTTTTTGCTTTCCTGCTTTCCGGCGTGTCGCCTCACGCAAGGTAGAGGTTTTCATGGATCAAGTGACTCTTTTCATTGCTCTAATTAAACTTTCCTTCATTCAATGATCAAGATAGGAGATTTACCCACAACACTCACTATTATTTAATTTTCTTTCACTTAGGAAAGTAGATTTACAACACGATTGATAAATGCCCTTGCAGTAGTAACGCTATGTAACGCAACACACTAAACACAACAATGGGCCTTTTCGCTCCACAAAAGGGTCTCAAACACTATCACTTAAAATGCATAAAACATTTGTACCGTTGGAGCGCGTTTGAGCGCGTTTGGTCAGAGTTGTTAAACAAGGATCAAAGTGGCCATGCAAATCTTTGAAAGGCTTCAAACTACGACGTACAAACGCATTTGATCTGCTCGAAAACCTGTCTCAAATTACATGCTAAAATACAGTGCTTCCGTTTGTCCTTGAGAACAATATAATACGTGACAAATACGAATGAAAAATACTTTAATACGTTCAGAATATATCAAATTATATTTACCTATTATGAAAGGGAAAAGAAATGGCCTAACTTTTACGGGATATTCAGTCAAACTCTAACCATTTCTAACGCTTTTACCGCCATATTGAAATTAACGCTACCACAATCGGAGTGCGCACACCGCTTACCATTCATGTAAAAACCATCATGAGGCTTGGTTACTAATCTGAGCGTGGTTTGGGGTCTGGATACGAGCACCAAGACATCAAACCTGGCAAGTGCAAGGTCCCTTCTTTAACAAGTAGTACGGCAGGCCTCAGTGATCACAGAACACCGAACATCTTCAAATTTTTGGAAGCTCTTGATTCAAAGACAGAAGAAATGGAACTGTCGTCTGAGGGGCCAAAGTGCTTGACAGCGCCGCTCCGTTCTCTCTCCCACCACGCACAGCTGCGACCGAAGGCGGTGTCTCTGATCGCTATGCTTTTGCAGAGACAGTCAGAAAAATAATGTCTAACATATCTCAAAACTAAAGAAGCTTCATCCCTACCCTTTGATAAGGGAGCGGCGCAAAGCTTCTATCAGTGGTAGCGTGTTCCGAGAGATACCATACAGTTTAACGTTCTTTTACGTGGACCTTTGGCACATTAGTTCCTGAAGGAGTTGGAACGAGGTAAGTCACAATATAAGCATTATTCATTTGAATAAATCCTCTCGGTCTTTCCAAAAATTGCCTATCTAAGTATCTTTTTTTCAGGGAGCATGCTGTTTTAGGATGTCGCACGGCATGACTGTGACGCTTAGTGAACGCTTAGTGAACGCATAGCGATCAGAGACACCGCCTTACTGAACGCTTAGTGCTAACTATGACATGTACTGACACTACATTGAATGTTGATTGCAATTTTCGAGGAAAAAACGGAAGAACGCATCAAATTTTTTCTCTTTCTCCCACTCACTCAGGCATCATACTGAAGAATCTTATTCCTAGAGAGCAGTTCGAGCGCTTAGAAAAACTTTATCATGCAGCAACCGATCGCTCATTAGAAGAGACTTCCCACCAAAATGCCGCGTCTAAGAAAGCCGGTCATCTGCCAACAGACTAGTCACGAGAAATTCTTTTGATGTTCTAGACGTGGACTAGAAAAAAAACAAGAACAATGGACGTTACACTACCCACTGAGCATATACAAGACCTTTCCAGTCTTCATATGAACCAAGGAATGCAAACATCAGACTAAATTAAATATATGGATTTTGAGGCAAGATTTATTTTTTCGCTAGTCAGGTTAGGAAGATAAGTGAAAGCATTTAAGCTCTTCTGGCATCACCTCTAGTGAACTGGATGGAATATGTAATCATTACGTATTACTTTTAGAGTTTTATGACAACCTTTGTTTGAAATATTAGTAGATGTAATAATTAGGGCATATTCCTAATTAGAACTTTCTCTTGGAGAAGATATCAGCTCAAATTTTTTGCTGTAAACGATTATCTAATAATTTTTAATCGTCACCAATACGTGTTTAGTATTATTATTCCGGTAATCATAGAGATGCACGCGCTCTGATCAGTCGAGGATTGTGTCATATCTCGCCTCGTACAATCAACTCGCGCGAGGCGATAACGGCGGGGGCGCTAAATTTCAAAATGTTTCTCAATGTTACCGAGTAAGTCATTAATGCGATGGGAGAAAATTCAATTCCGAAGAGCACAAGAGATGCTTTTATGTTTGGAATAACACTTTTAAAAAGAAAGATATGAAATGTTTGTGGATTGAATTAAATAAACATGTTAAATTCTAGTATAGACTGGCCGAGTAATAAAAACAGTTGTAACAGACTGGTTTCAACATCAAAACAAACTTACAACATAATTCGAAATCATCCTAACACAATTATTCCCTTGAGAATATTCAATAATATTCATGTCGCCTTCGGCGAATAATTGAGTTAACCCGTTTACAAATTCATGCAAGATATAGTTAAGTAGATTTGAAAGCGCTTACGTTTGAGGAAATTTGTTGCCTGACAACAATTGATGATGCTAACGTGACTTCTCGCCGAATACTACAGCTATTACTAAGCAACTTGAAACTCTTCGGCAGCTGAGGAAGGAATATCTTACGATCCGTTTCTTTTCAAATGATACTGAAGCCTGCTTAGTTTTCCTTTTCACATCGTGAGTAGGTAACCGATTGTTGGTTCAATTCTTAAGATTCATTGAGGAAGATTTTAAAAGTACATGTAACCTTACGTATCCTTTCATTCAACAAACTGAACGCATAATTAATTTTTCAATTCATTTATGATTAACACCTTTAGTTCTTTGCTGTATTGTTTGCTTTACCTTCAAGTCACACTTCTGTAATAAAGAGGGGAAGTTTCTTAAGAAACTGTGGTGCTGCGTCGGTGGGGGAGTACCACAAGGTAATTTTGGTTTCATCAACTGACTGATAATATAAATTGGCCTCCGTAAAGAGTTTCAAAGCTGACGTTTCGAGCGTTAGCCCATCGTCAGAGCGAAAGATGAAGGGCTAACGTCGGCTTTGAAATTCTTTAAGGTCACCATTTTACATTATCAACTCTGTTAATAAAACCAAAATTACCTTTCTATCATAAGTTAGCTAAGGACGGTGAATTTCAGTTTCATATGATGTGAAAAGTTGATGAAAAGTAAGGCTTACTGGAGTTATTGCACTGTTTCCTTTACCGATTGCTGTTTTTTGGATTTAAGGGATAAAATCTCACTCGCTTACTCCATTACCGGGCGAGGAAGCTGATAGAAAAAAAAAATACAAAAAAAAAAAACAGGGTATCTGTGGTTATTGACTAAGAATGATATCCTAAGCAGCAACACTCACATCGTACTTGAGGTCTTTTTTCATTAACCTCCTTTTCTGAGCTTGCTTGACCGGCGAAGAAAACTAGGTTCGAGTCTATCTTTTATATTATACTTCCCGTTTAGAATTTACAAGGAAGGGGAATTTCAGTTTCGTTTAACTAAAAAAAGATCATGAAAAGGGGAATAGAAATTTAGGCCCTTATTTAGTGTTGTAGTGTTTGTATGGTACCAACCAATGCAAGATTAAATCAAATGAGATTAAAAGAATTCAAACCCATTCGTAGACTCCACTACCGTGCGAGGAAGCTGAGGAAAAAAAAATTGAGCAGGTATTTTTGGTCAATGAAACTTTGAATCTTTGCAACAACACTCTCGCTGTGGTAATGTCTTCTCCTCCATAACCTCCTTATAATAGTTTGTATCGGCCTGCGAGGCAAACTAGGTTCGCGTCTCCGCGGCTTCGCTTGCTGTCGTGGTTCAAGAGATGAGCGTTCGGGGACTTACATCTTATCTGAAAGAGTCAGCTCCATTCCTTGGAAGACAGATCGAGCTGCGAGACACAAAGCTCATCATAGACGGAGATAACTTGTGTAACTACCTGTATAAAGAAAACGGCTTCGATTGCCGGTGTGGGGGACAGTACGAGGAGTTTTACATGAAAGTGCTGTTGTTTTTCGACGCTTTAAAATCTAAAGGTGTAGAATCTTTCGTAGTTTTAGATGGTGCATATGATAAAAGCGATAACAAGTTGGAAACGCAGAAGAAAAGAGCACAGGAAAGGATCGAAACGGCTGACCGGTTGTTCAAGGATGAAACTTCGCCTGATGGCGATGAATACTTTCTACTTCCGCTTTTGGCGAAGTTTGTATTCGCACAGGTCCTCAGGGATCACCTCATAAGATTCGCTGTTTCTGACTGGTAAGATGTTATCAAATAAATAATAAGCTTGCGCTAATGATATTACACTGACGAAAAATATAGTCGTGTTCAGATGCTTAGGATATGAAACGAAAGATGGAGAAATACATTTTTGGTCCCATTTCTTTAGGCTTTTCCTTACTCGGTAATGCAAAAAGTGATTTATTTCGCCCAAAAGGCAGTAGTTCCGGTCAATTTCGGAAATTTTATTCACACGCATTTTGTACAAGTAGGTGTTCCGGTTGTGTTTTGTTTTCACTTTCACACGTAACCGAAATTAAGGCAAAATAAACTGCAGATATCGATAAGTTCTTATTCACGGAGCGGGAGAGCTGAGCCGGGGAAGCCCCGAGGACGTAGAAGTGTTAATCAAGCGTAGCGATTTAACTAGAAACAGGTAATGGGTAATGTTAATGAAGAAAATAAAAGGCAACCGTAATTGAAGAGAAGGGATGATAAAGGCAGCCAATTCTGATTAAACATCTGTCGATATTTTGAACAATATTAGGGAACAAATTGATACGACTTCTTACATATTTCATAATGTTTGGCGTACTCATCTCGTGGAATCACTTTTCCGCTTGTAATCCATCGAAGTAAGTTCTCTAAGGAATTGCTTTTCTCTTTTCTTTTCTACAGTGAAGCAGATCCTGACATCGCCTCTTTAGCCAGGGATTGGAAATGTCCTGTTTTGAGCAACGACAGCGATTTCTTCATCTTTGATGTTGAGGGTGGCTTCATCCCACTTTCTTCTTTCGATGTCGATCATTTAACAGCTCGCATTTTCTACCGCAGTAACTTGGCAAGATATTTTGGAATACGCGAAGAATTGCTCCCTTTGTTCGCTTCCTTACTAGGCAATGATTACGTGAGTTGGGAAGCGCTGAAATCCTTCAACCGCACAATTTGGACTCTTTTCAGTGATGGTCGCAGAGGAAAGGAAGTGAGGTTTTTAGGCGTCGCAAGTTTGCTCTCCCAGTTCTCTGACTCAATCACAGAAACAAAAGCGTTTGAGTTCGCTTTGGAATTGATTGAGCCGGGTGAAAGCAGAGAGCGGCTAAAGCAAGCTGTCGAGTATTCCCTTCAAGAATACACAGTCACGAAATCAAATGTGTTGAATTACTTCCGAGACGAAGCGGTATGTAGTCTTCTGAGAACCCAAAATAATCTCGAACTTGACGAAGAGGTATTGCGCACGTTTCGCGAAGGAAAGTTTTCTACCGATTCTATGAGCAGCTTAGCGGCGGGAAAAGTTTTTCTGAGAGTCCAGGTTGAGGACCGTGAGAGCAGATCGTCAAATCAGTGTTCAATGTCATTGAGACAGCTGGCGTATGATATCTTAAGCGATGAAGGAAGAAACATGAAGAAGGTCGAAGAATGGGATAGAGAGGGCATTGCAGTTAAGCACACAGATATTAAGCCTTACAATGATGGGGTCCCTTCGTTGAGCTCTATTCCAAGCCTTGATCTTCAAAAGAGATTGACGTTGTTCTTGGATGCGCTTGATTCAGACACAGCTTAC